TTACCATTAACATTCACAGTACACGTAGTGTCCCGGTAAAGAGCCTGTATACAATTGTAAAGCTTACCATGAACACCAATTAATCTCAACTTGTACCATAGCAAAGATCTATTAACTCGATCAAAAGCTTTTTTTGCATCTATAAAACAAACAAAAGTGTCTTTTTTACAAAGCTTTCTGTTTTCAATCATAGAGTAAAGACTGTACAGGTGGTCGAGACAACTCCTTTTCTTACGGAATCCATTCTGTTCTTCCTTAATAATACATTCTTTTTCAAGGAAATGAGTTAGTCTTTCTCTTATGATATCACAATAAATCTTACATATCACCGATATCAGAGTTATACCTCTATAGCTTAATGGTTCACGTTCATCCATTCCAGGTTTTAAAATGGGATGGATTATGCCTTTTTGCCAAGCTGTAGGGGAAATACCACGTTCAAAACAAAAGGAGAGGAGGGCATGAAGGAATTGTATTGAAGCATTGTTTTTTACCATCTCCGAAACGATACCATCTATTCCGGCAGCTTTGTTTAATTTTGCCCTCTTTACAGCTGCAGTCACCTCTGTTAATTCAATAGGAAGGTTTAAATCATTTCCTCTAGTATCAGATTCTTGAACATTACACTCTAGGATTTTCAACTGTGTGTTAACATGTGATAAGAACCCATCATCGAAACCACTGCCATTATCTTTAAACAGAGAATGGAAATCATTTTCCCATTTACTCATAACATTATCATAGTCTTCACTTATTTCTCCATTATCATTTATTATTTCCATTGGTATATTTTGGTACTTCTTTTCTTCATCTGACCCTATTCGACCAATCTCTTTCCAAAATGAACAAGAGTCTTTATTTACCATTGCATCAAGAGCATTGATTTTTTTATACTGGTAAGCTCTCTTAGCTTTTCTGACCGCTTTATCAAAAATCTTATGTGCATTTTTGTAATCAATAAACATCACTTTTTTACCCTCAGTATTCTTGCACTTCAACCATTCCTTTTGTTTACATTTAACACAATTCCATAACGATTGCAGATTATCATTCCACCAGACCTTAGGTGAATGGGGAAGACCTTTTTGGGGTCTACTAGTTTTCCTTTCCCTACAACATTTATGAACACATTTTTGGATTACTTTTTCAAAGCCATAATACACATCGTCCAAATGTTCCTGCGATGATAGACCACAGTTAAGTTTACTTATAAGCTCACTTACTGCATTTTTACTTTCTTCATCGGACATAAAGGAATCATTAATATCATTCAGTTGGTATCGCTTGGATAAATTTTGAAAACTGGGTTTAGAGTGCATCTGGTTATCACTATTTCTACACACTGTTTTTCTGTAAAAATGCCAACATAGTATTGAGTGATCTGGCACTGAACCCACCACTGGGATTGAGTGTTTGTCTAGTAGATCAGCAACTAACAAAACATCAAAATTGAAATACAAATTTATGTCATGGTAAGGTACAATGCAATAGTCCACAACTGATTTTCCTTTGTAGGACACACAGGTAAAATTATCATTTGTATATCGACCATTCAGACAGCAAAAATTTGAGGTTACACAAAAATCTGCAAACAGTCTACCTTGAGAATTTACTTCAAAGTCTATAGTCTTTCTCTGTCTCATTGGGTCTATGCCTTCAATAAAGTCTTGTAAACCTCCGGTTCTGGCATTAAAGTCACCACATATCTGGATTTTACCCAGATCTTTATACTTGTACAATCCTGAAAACAACTTATCAAAAAACTCTTCTGCATGTCCACCTCTGCTCGAGTTCTCTGGGGGTAGGTAACATATGCAAATATAAAATGAATCGTTTTGCCGCTTATCTCTCAGTTGAAGCCACATAATTCCATCATATGATTTTTCCACACACTTTAGTGAAAATGAGCGAAGAATGCGACGGTGGACCAGAAATCCAACCCCACCGGATCCTTTCCTAGCATTTTTATGCAGATGTAGTCGGTCATGACCCAACCACACATAATTGGGAACTGAAATTGATTGACTTTTAGTAAGGTGAGTTTCCACTAGGCAAATAATATCAAAATCACATTTCACAAGGATGCTTTTCCTTATTGAACATGTATCCGACCAACCGCCAACATTCCAACAGGCGACACCAAGCTGGGAATAGCCATCGTTATCCTACAAATTCTCCTTACTACTACTAGCTGATGCGTCCGCGATGGGATCATTAGGGGGTTTGAACTCCACTCCATCGATGAAGAGTTTGCCATTTCTGAACAGAGTTTTCTTGCCTGAGTTGTATGCTTCAGATGCGACGTTTTTCAGTTGCTGTTTTACCTTACGGTCTGCAAGTGTCTCATCCTGCTTAATGTAGAAAGGTACCTTTGCTGCTTGCAGCTTGCGTTTGGCTCGAATGATCCTATCCCTGTCTTCCACAGAGCCGACCTTGAAGATGATGGGTCTTGTTGAACCATCCTTCTTCTTTCCAAGTCTGTGGGCTATCTCCACTTTCGTGTCGATGTCGAGGTGGTCCTTCAAAACACTATTTACTATTCCTGAGGGGATTTCGTCTTTTTTCTCTGGGCCATAATTACAGAGGATCAGATTGCACTTCCGAGAGTGTCTCTCCAGCTTATTGTTGACGTCTTGGAGGTGCTTTATGTCAGCCTCACATGAAGACATTCGCTTTGTGAGGGGCGTCACTTTTCTCTCAACCACACTTGTTCTAGCGGCTTGAAACTCAATAGAGTTTTCCAGCTCTACTTGCTTGGTTTTCAGTTCTTTAATACTTGCTCTCATCGAGTCCTGGCCAGATAGAATAGACTTTAGTGACTGACGAACAAATGATTCAAAGTCAGATTCTTCAACAACACTCACTGACCGAGTCTTTGTCTTGTCCTTATTGCTAGCGGACCCAGCACCCCCACCCGGTCGATCACGCAACTCCATTGACATGATTGTTGTTGCATATTTACAAGGTATATACAATTGTCGCTAAGTTTAAGACCCGGGATGGGGGGGGGGGGGGGGGGGGGGGGGGGGGGGGTACTCAGATTTGGTTTGGCTGGGGGTGTGCGGCTTAGGCGTCTTAACCCATACCCATTGTTAAGGGTCATTTTGGCAGAAGATGGACAGTAAAAAAAAATGAAAGTTCTGGTATACATGTAGAGTATAGCAGTGGGAAAAGTAGCACTGTGCTTTCCGGCAATAATCTGCCTAAACATTGGCACAAATGGAGTGATTGAAAGACGAAGGCGTTAATGCAAATGTTCAGACAATCTACTCCTAATATATACAGTAATGGCACTCGTAAACTGAGGAAAATGAGGCTTGTGTTTATGTCTATATCTAATTAAAGGGGAATTGTTACAGTTTAACCCTAAAAGGCCGGGTTAGTTTAGTACACAATTGTTCGATTCAATTCAAATAATGTTATTTCCAAAACTCACTCAAAACATGAGGTCTCAGCCAAGGCCAGGGGAGGGGGGACTGGGGGGGGGGGGGGGTTGCCCCCTTGGAATCTCAGCCATGGAATGACAAAACAAAACAAACCTCGGAATTTTGATAGAGTATATCATAGTCAATAAGTCCATGAAATTTCATATCTATGTTTCGAATGGCTTTTAAATGTATTGATTACAAATTAACTATTCACATATCCGTGAAGTGACAATTTTGCACGGGTACAGTATACAAAATTATGATGCACAGGTTTGGGTGCGTCGGTAGGAATTGTATGCAAAAGGTACCTTCGAATGGTTTTAGACCAAATTTGCAGGTACCGCGTGCACACAATTCCACCGACCCACAAATTAAACCTGTGCATTATCTGTTTTATAAAATAGGGACCCCAAAACGTCAAAAATACAAAAAATCTGTTATTTTATAGACTTACCGGGTGCATGGCTAAATCATGCTTTCCGGTGACTACCGGACGCATGATTTTGCCATAACCATGCATCCGGTAATTTCCGGAAAGCATGATTTCATGAAACTTATCATGAAATTAAAAAAAATAAAAAAAGTAGTAAGTGCACATTTAACTATCTAGGCCTAGGCCTACTCTGAAACAAATTAAAAAAAGAATAACAAAAATAAGAATTATTAACGAAAATTAAAAGAAAAAAAAAAATATATATATATATAAGAATTATATACAAAAGGATATCGGTGGTATCGATTCTCGATATCGCGTGCATCAAGTAAAAATAAGTACACAGTAATTGACTAATCAGATTGCAGGAATTCATCTACCCATCTTATAATACATAATTTATGGTCAAATTTTTGTTTTGGTAGCGCCGTGATTTTGTTACCCTACGCAGTACTACGCGTACGCAAGATTTTTTCAAGGGGGGGGGGGGGGGGGTTAAAATCTTGAAATCGGGCCGAAAATTTCGCAACGACTCAGCCAGACGCTGAATAAGCAGGGGGGGTGGGGGGGGGGGGGGGGGGGGAGTAAAAGGACATTTTTTTTGGTTTTTTGGTCCCCCCAAAAAAGTCGCAACGACTCAGCCACCCGCTGAATAAGCGGGGGGGGGGGGGGGGGGGGTAAGATTTTGAAATTTGAAAATTTGACATTTTTCTTCGTTGGTAATCTTTTTTAGGTCAGTCGTGGGCATAAAATACATAAAAATACCAAAGGGGGGGGGGGTTAACCCCCCAACCCCCCCCCCCCCTCCTGCGTACGCGCCTAAAAAATTGTACCCTTTGGTCGAAACTTATATACATTTGGTACCAAAAAGATAGGGGCAGAGTTAATTCTGCCCCCGGCCCTTTTAAGGTTTAAAAAAGGGCCTCCCCGGCGGTCCGGATTAGCATGTCCCGCGGTCCAGACTTTGGGAATCCCTGGTCTAGAGTAACATGCATAGTTATTTTTGATATTTCTTCCATCAACCGGTATACTGCACAAGAGCAAAACCAAGGTATTTGGCCATTTAGTGTATCATTTATGCATTTGGTGTATCATAATGCATAACCACATATTATGGATATCTGAATATAAATTGACATCACATGTGTTTGCCTTTTCATATTTAGTCTGACCCTAGCACCAGTAGGGCTCTTAGCTTAATGCATGAATCAGATATACGAAAATGTAAGATGCGGACAGTAATGTATGGAACAAACTAGCCCGTAAATAAGTCAGACCTTTACTACTCGTTGGGGATCAAGTCATTAGTCCTGAGATTAATGGTGAGATTTTTCACCAGTTTATTCCAGAAAAAAGCGAGTCCTCTGACGTCCTCGGTCCAATGTAGGTAGGGTCTGCCATCACTTAAATATAGCCTTGCCAAGAATGGTATCTCCTCGTCAGGGATGTCTTCGAGAAAGACCACGACTACGAATTCGGTCTCGGTGTCGCTCACATGGTCCATTGCGGTGCGGAGTTTGAGCATGAACCAGCGATCGTGTACGGCGGCTCTGCTGAGTAGAATGAGTGTTTTGTAACTATGACTCACCACGTAGTCGACGGCGTCCAGGTAGTGCATACCAATGACGAGATCTTGATCACCAACGACATTCCTCTGGAACTGCGGAAGCCATTCTTCAAGAGCTGGTTGGAGTTGTTCACGAACCCATTCTTCGTCGTCATCGTAGAAGATGATATTCAAGTCAAACTCGTAGTCGTTGTGGTCCCGGGCGTCTCGCATCTCTTTATATCCAACTACCATTAGTTTCAAGAGAAAGATTTTGTACTTCAACGGCCATCGGTAGTGATAAAGGACTATGACGATGACAACCAAGAAAATACCGGCGAGAGGAGTCAAGCATACAAGAGCAATGTTGAGTCCACAAAGTTTACTGGGATCAAATTCAAGCAAAGGTTTTCCGCGGAGAGGCTCTAAAGAGGCCGATGAACAGACGATTCTGTTCTCGTCAATGACGTCAATATGTCCACTCATCCAATCGCGTAACCATCGTAGATCGCAGTTACAGTCGATAGGGTTCAATGACAAATCGAAAGATAGAAGCGAAGATTCTATCGGTTCAAATGTCGTTTGGTTGAGACGGGTTAATCTATTGTTTGATAGCAAAAGAGAAGTCAGTCTGGGATTGTTCGAGAATAGTTGTTCATCGAGGTATGCCAAAAGGTTGTTATCAAGATCGATAATAGTCACTTGATCTAACATTTTGAATATATCAAAATTAAGTTGTTGAATTACGTTTCCACGTAAATTTAGCACCCGAAGCGATTCCAATCCCGTAAAAGCTAATGGATGAAGGCATTCAATTTGACAGGCTTCTAACTTAAGGTTCTGAAGAGCAGAGAGTTGCTCGAAGATCCTAGCTGCAAAGAAAAAGTGTAAATTATTAAAGCTCAGATCCAAAGTAATAAGATTTGACAATCCGTCAAATAGAGAGACATTCAGGCTCTTATCCCAGAGATGAATTATCATCAGCCCCGCTTTACGGATTTCCAAATCTACAAGGCCTTGTGAATCTTTGAAGGGTATTCCAGGTTGCATTAAGAGCATTAGGCTGTTCATGTTATTCATGGAAAGGGTTGTTAAGTTCGGGGCTACCGGTTGAAATTCGGAAAGCCTGCAATTGCTCAAGTCGATGGTTTCAATTCCCGTCAGTTTCGAAAACGACGTTATTTTCAGGACAATAAGGTCTTCGTTGAAGCTCAGATTTAACAGCATTAGTTTTCGCAAACCGAAAAATGCGAATTCTAATATTTTTGTCAAAGAATTGCCGCGTAAGTGCAACTCATTCAAGTCCAGTGCCCATACGTCAGTATTTGGGTTTATATATTTTATTTCATTGAAGTTCAAGTTCAAAACTTTTAGCTCCCGCATGCCTTGAAAGAATACCGGTTCAACAGTGACGATTTTGTTTGACGATAGATCAAGCTCCACGAGTCTTGTCAAGTTTGAGAACACGTATGGAGAGAGGGATTGTATTTCGTTGTTTGATAGATCAAGTTCCACAAGTCTTGCCAAGTTTGAGAACACGTACGGATAGAGGGATTGTATCTTGGTCCATGTTAATCTAAGCACGGTAAGAGAGCAATTACGCAAGTGACCAAAGAAATCTCGTGGCAAGACTGTGATATCGGTCCAACTTATATTGAGCTCTACTATTTCAGAGCGACAGATCCCGCTAAATATATCCTTTAGTATCTCAAGTGTCAACGGGTACTCTCCAAGGACCAGTGATCGGGCACGCAACGATGCAATAACGTTTGGGTCTACTGATTTAATAGGATTCCCGGTCAGATCCACATAATCACTTTGACATCCGAAGATGACAAATTCTGCGGTGAGATGCTCGATTTTATTATTAGCCAAGTCAATTTTCTTTGCTCTGCCACAAAGGCTCATGTTAACGAAAGTGAGTTTGTTGTCGCTAAGGTCTAAATACTCTACAGACGGGCTCCATTTCAGAGTGTCATTTGGAAGCAGTTTCAGATTCGAATCAGACAGTCCCAGGGTGGACAGGTTCTTAGACCACCTGAACAGGTCTGTAGCTGGGAGAACAAGATTAGGGTTTAATGATAGGTATAATTTATTCAATTCCTTTAGAGGGTAAAAAGATGCAGATTCTATAATTCTGATGTCGTTGTCGGAAAGATCCAAGACCTGGATCAAAGGGTATTTCTTGAAAGAAGAACTCAAGATGAACGTGATATTGTTGGACCCGACGCCCAGTTCTTTAATATCGTCTGGAAGATTCTGAGGGATGGAGTCCAACTCACGATAATAACAATCAGCTTTCTTCTGCTCGGCATCATAATCACATGTCATAGAAGGAGTAAACATGGCATCTTGGGGTATGGTTTGGATCAGCGTCGGTGTGAGAATAAATAACACAGCCAATGGCAGACAGCGTAGAAGAGGTGCTCGTATGAATGCCATAATAACTGACTCCTGTCTGAAATAGAAATAGAAGATAATAAACTGCAGGAAACCAACTTTCACATTAACAATTTTAACCCTAACCACAGGTCTATCACCTTAACTCTAACCATAACCCGGATATATTTGACTGATGCTTAGTATTAGTAACATATTCTTCACTTATGTCATGATAAGTATTTCTCTTTCTAAAGCTTAACTTATATGCAATGGAATAATACTAAAGTTTAGAGCCCAATGGTTGTTGTCTCTTTAGTCCAGGCAACAAAGGGCACAATTTTAAGGATTGATTTAATTAAATTTGTGAAATCGAATATCTCTGCAAACGAGCAACTCGTAGTTGTTAAAGAAAAAAATATGATCTTGCTGCCTAGGAAGAAATTCGTAATAAAAAAAGAAAAAAGAAGAAGATTTGAGCTAATGTAGAATTACTCGGTAAATCTACACAAGCGGTGTGCGAAAATACAAGAATTTCAAGTACAGGTATGTTGCGACAAATTTAAAAGTCCATAACACTCGTGTAATTCCACGTCGTCCGAGTGGGCCTTGTACGTGGGCCACAAAACAAGGTCATCGTACGGGCCTAAAAGGGCCGCCCGTGGAATTCCTGCGGCCGCCGCAATTTTGTTGGGTTCTGCAAAAGTCAATTGTAATTCATAAGACCCTAGGACAACCGCACGGGAAACGCAAGGCCACCTTTCGCCCGACATATTGTCGCCTTGGAACCGCTCTACGTCATGGCTACGGCGTGTCTAATCGCTACCTCGAACCTAGAAATGAAAACATCTCCGCGTTATAATCCTACGGCGACCTATACGGCCTGTAAAGATAGGGGTACGCCCTAGTGTGAATCTGATTCTCTGCGGCCACAGATTCTATGCGGTCGCTGCAGGTATCTCTCGATTTCGGGGCGTACGGCCGCCGTATTCTGGCCGTAGAGCAAATGTGACCTTTAGGTATAAGAATCAATCGTAAGAAAATAAGAATCAATCGTTTGAAAATAAGAATCAATCGATCATTTCAATTTTTCATTGTCAGAGTTTGCTTCACTTCTATATTTACCTCAACTTTAGGAAAGATCAATAAAGTATTCCAAAGATGGTCTTCTGTGGTTCAGGGAATCTGGCAATAACGGCTGACTTGGTTTGAAGCAGAATCAATATACACCTCTGCGATAAGAGCTTCACGAAAGCGCACTAATTTTACGCCCTGTTAAAAGCATCTTTGATGAATGCTTCAGTTTAGGTTTGAGAGCAAAACAAGAATATTTTAATTCAGGCAGCACATTTCCTGAAATCAAAATATCCTATTTCCGCTGGAAAGTGAAACTGAATCGTTTGTTATGGTAAGGGTAACTAATACACTGTCTAATGATAGTATATTTATAATTGTGCTGCCACGGATGACTGAGCATTAGGCTATTTCAAAAAGGATTGTCAAAATCGTCTTGTACCAAGTTTGGGCTGAAGCAATTAATTTGAGTCAAAAGCCATTATATGTGTATTATCTCACTTCAAAACAATAATGCTGCTCACATATTAACATGGGCTATTGGGTAGTTAAAAGTAAAAGTGTTAATATAAAAACGAACTCAAGGAAATGCATATTTCCAGCAAAATCTATGATATTTTCTTAAACATGATCACTACAATCTTGACTTTTATTAGCATCCCTTGTTTTAGGTGACCCTTTTCATTGAGTGATACAAAATAGTTAAAGTTGATTTAGGATGTTATCCTTTGTATGAAAGTCTACTGTCTATTTTTATTTGATACGAGTCATCATAATTATGTGTTCTTTCTTGCATTTGAGTTTTCATTTGCTATTCGAGATAAACACTTTATGCTCATTACGCGTGTGAAATAGCGCAGCGGGCATGGGGGCAGAGAGAACTTAGATATCATGAGACTAGAAGTTAGAAGGCTGTTAAAAATAATAACAATTTATCCTATGGATCGACACAAGGCTCCGTGAAAGTATAGATTTATTGCACCATTTTAAACAATTAAGCACTGAAGCACGGGGCATAATTTAACCCTAAATGTATTTAATACCAAAGAAGCACATGCATATGGCCTGACCCACATTCGTTTTATCAACCCAAACTTGGTACATGGCGATTTTGACAACCCTTTTTAAAGACCCTTGTGCTCAGTCATCCATGGTAGAAATATCAACTATGGTGTCATTGGACAGGAAACAAGTTACTATTCATCATGAAATAAAATATATTTCAAAGTCATATTGGTTATGACTTATGACTTTTAAAAGGATCATTTAAAAATGTTAAATCTGAGATGCACGGCCCTACGTGTTATCGGTGTTTTTTTTTTTTTTTTTTTTTTTTTTTTTTTTACTTCCTTCGATAACCTTTACTTATGTTATCCTTTGTTACTTCCTTCTATAACCTTTCCTTATGGAGTTATTCTCTGTTTTTTCCTTCGATAACATTTCCTTGTGTTATTCTTTGTTACTTTCTTCTATAACCTTTCCATAGTTATTCTTTTTTATTTCCTTCTATAACCTTTCCATAGTTATTCTTTGTTACTTCCTTCTATAACCTTTCCATAGTTATTCTTTGTTACTTCCTTCTATAACCATTTCTTATGTTATCCTTTTATTTTATTTACATCTATAACCTTTTCTTATGTTATCCTTTGTTACTTCCTTCTATAACCTTTCCTTATCAAGTTATTCTTTGTTTTTTCCTTCGATAACCTTTCCTTATGTAATTCTTTGTTTCTTCCTTCGATAACCTTTCCTTATGTAATTCTTTGTTTCTTCCTTCTATAACCTTCTCTTATGTTATCCTTTGTTTCTTCCTCCAATAACTGTTTTTAATGTTATTCTTTGTTTCTTCCTTCGATAACCTTTCCTTATCAAGTTATTCTTTGTTTTTTCCTTCGATAACCTTTCCTTATGTTATTCTTTGTTTCTTCCTTCTATAAACTTTCCCTTATGTTATCCTTTTTTTCTTCCTTCAATAACTGTTTTTACTGTTATTCTTTGTTTCTTCCGTCTATTACATTTTCTTATGTTATTCTTTGTTTCTTCCTCATATAACTTTCTCTTATGTTATCCTTTGTTTCTTCCTTCTACAACCTTTTCTTATTTATCTTTATATCTTTTCTTATGTTATTTATGTTTTTAGATTCTATAACCTTCTTTTAGGTTATCCTTTTGTTTCTTCCTGCTATAACTATTTCTTATGTCATTCTTTGTTTCTTCCTTCTATAGCGCTTAAAGACTTCGGTGGTAAGCGCTTTATAAAAGCACCGGTTTTTATTATTATAAAAATAGAGATGGCAAACAGTAAACTAGTGTTCGCTAGAGATGGCGCTGTTCAATTATCCAGGTCTGTCACATCAGTTTTTAAAGCACGGTGATGTGAATCACATTTCAATATGCGACAACAATACACATTCTGCATAACGCATGCCATTCACACATCAAAATCAAGTAAAAACCAGATACAGGCTTGAGCCTTGATGTTATCCATTTCATTAACACCGATATGAAGACTAAAATTATAAAAGGAGATATCGACTTTAGGACGAACTTATACCCAGAGTGAGGTTTAAATTCGAGAAGAATACGGACCCCTAGGCAAAATCCTCATGAATTATCACTTGAGCAAGGGGTCATAAGACACTATAGATAGAATGTAAGGTATAGATGTAAGCTTTATTATATGCCACGTTCTCAAGAAATATAAATCGAGCAAATCAATTCTCACATAGGCCTCCTTAAAAATAAATACAAAAACTTGGTAAGGGCCGGGATATGAATAATTTAGTTGCTAATTGAAATTATAATTTAGCAATGGCGGAATTAGTCATTTCAGTTATCCTAGTGATGTAATCATTTTTCTATACAATCATGTGAATAGTGAATACATGTAGATAGAGTAGGCCTACTGTGGTGAACTGAATAAATTAGTGATATACACTGATTTGTTACTAAAGTCATCCCGCGAAAGCCATCACTTCTTGATTTTGATGATAATTATTGTAAGGATTCGTAATTTATAACGTTAACAACTGAATTATTCATACCGTTTAAAAATTTGACATTTCTTTTTTTGTAAATCAAGAAAGAAAGTTGGACTGGTTCAATAAGGGCATTTGTTAAATACTTTTAGATGTATGCTTTATTATTATATGCCACGTTCTCAAGAAATATACATCGAGCGAATCAATTTTCACATAGGCCTACTTAAAAATAGATACAAAAACTTGGTAAGGGCCGGGATATGAATAATTTAGTTGTTAATTGAGGTTATATATATATATTTAATTAAGCATCGGCGGAATCAGTCATTTTAGTAATCCTATAGTGTTGTGATCTTTTTTTCTTCTCTATACTATTATGCGAATAGTGAATACATTTACAGGGGTCTCATGACGTGCACATGCATGAAATCGATGATGTAAACACGCCTCATGCATCGGATGACAAATTTGTCATTATCATTATGTACTGATCACGTGACTGACATTCTTGCACAGAGAACAAATATTGGCTTGGTAGGGCTCACATTCTACAAGAGGTAGAAAACTGTCTGTGGTAAATCACAGCATTGAGGGATCTAGGGGGATCGGGGAGCCCTGCCCCCCTCCCCTGGTAAAAAAATAAAAAATAAAAGAGAAGACGGGCCCCCTCCCCCTGGCGCAAGTGTATGTGTTTGTGTGTGTGTGTGTGTGTGTGTGTGTGTGTGTATGCGTGTGTGTATGTGGGGGGGGGGGGGGTGTTGATATAAAAACAAATAGTGTTCACTACCCCCCCCCCCCCCCCGCATATTGAATGGCCGGCTGATTCGGCGCTAAATATTTTCTTACGAATTTGAAAGGAAAACAAAATAGTGATCTTTACCCCCCCCCCCCCCCCTTTCCGCTTATTCGCCGGCTGGCTGATTCGCCGCTTAACATTTCTAACGAATAGGGCCCCTTATTTTGCCCCTCCCTAGTCGCCGGCTGGATCCGCCCCTGAATCACAGGTAT